TAGAGGGAGTAACCCCTAATTTTATAATCAAGTCAATTCATTGTAATCATAGAATTTGCGGTTGCAAGTGATTAATAAAATTTTCCACAGTTTGTGGGCAGAGAGATACTCTGCAGAAAATAATTGTCTCTTTGTTTTCTTTTCTCGTAATTCATTATCATTATGTGGTGATATCAATCTTGTTCATCAAAATTGATAAAAATTCATCACAAATATTTGGTGAATTCCTAACAAATTAAACAAATAAAATCATTCCTTGAATAATATATTAGAAAACTGAAAAAGGTTATGATCATTGCATTTTGGGTTTATGATTTTTAGAATTTAGTTCGTGAATTTTGTTGTTTTTTTTCTTCCAATTGATCATATTGTGATGATTTCTTGCAAGTATGAATTCACTAAATGGTGGATGCAATCATTTGAGATGAAGATTGAAGTTGAAGGTATGAAGAAGGGGATCAAAATTATTGAAGAATTCTACCATTAAAGATAAAGAAAAGAAAGAAAATTAAAGAATTTTTATATTATTTATAAACATAGTTAATTTTTTTTCAAATTACCAATTTAGAATTCTAACCTTACCATTTAACTTTTATTCAGTAATATCATATAATTCAAAATAAAAAGGTATTAATTTAGATACTTTTATTTTGTATAAACATGATTTCTTTATATTTGCTGAGACAATTTTTTTTATCTTCATTTTCATTTCGAAAAACAATAAAGTAAATTCTTAAAAACATATGGGCCCATTAATTCAGATTATGCTTTTTCAGCGAGCAAAACGTTTATGAAAACTTTGTCGCCATATACTTATACGTAACAATAGTAATTATTATAAGGGTTAATACCATTCACTCTTATATTATTTAGATGATTTTTTGTTTATTCATTATAAATTTTTTTTAAAAGATTTTATCGTTATAAACATGATAAAAACATTGTTTTTAAAATTAATATTGTCATTTAAAAATTATATCATTTTAAATCTTATATATAAAGATTTTGTCATTTTAAATTTTAAAGTGGATTTTACAAAAATAAAAAATTATAAAATTTAAAATAACATAATTTTCAAATAACAAAATTGATCTTAAAACGACACAATCTTCAAATAATAAAGTTAGTTTCAAAAACAGATCACATGGATAAACTAGAAATCGCTTAAAAGAGAATAAAATAGTAATCAATCAATATGTTTTGTATGACAAATTGAAAAGCTATGTCGGCAAGCTAAACTTTACAGCTATGGAAATCCATCCTATCCCGCAAAAAATCGAAGCATTATTGTTATCGGTACTATGCATAGCAAATTGAATGTGTGGTGGAAAATATAGTACAACACAAAAATATATAAAAAATCTTACTATTTTTTATCTATAAATTTCTGCATGCAAGAATGAACTAATGCAACATAATACAACACAACTCCAACCTAACAAGCTTTCTACTCATTCAACAATCATGGCTTATGCTAAGCTCTCTCTTTTGCCTCTCTTCTTGCTTACCGCATTAAGTATGTCTTCTATTTTTATTCTTCTATCTTTATTTCTTGTATATATTAAGATTGTTAATTATAAAATCTTGAATATTGTATCAGAATTTTGTTATATTTATTTTTGTAATTATATATATATATATATATATATATATATATATATATATATATATATATATATATATATATATATATATATATATATATATATATATATATATATATATATATATATATATATATATATATATATATATATATATATATATATATATATATATATATATATAAATAAGAGTACAAGGATCTGTATACTAATTGCCTATAATTATCTAGTCTATAATTGCCTATAATAGAAATTCTATTTTAAATACAATTATGATACTATTTCCTGATATACTATGATATTATTTTAAATACATATTTGCTTGGGTTTGACCTTCTTGAATGTCTTGATATTTGCTTTGACCTTCTTTAATGTGAATAATATGTACATATCCTTAACACCCCCCTTCAAGTTGGAGGTGGGATTGAAATCTCAAGAACACCCAACTTGCCGAGTAGTCGTTTATGAGTATCGCCTCCAAGAGGTTTAGTAAATATGTCAGCTAGTTGGTCAAAAGATCGGAGATAAGAAGGGCTGATAAGACCTGATTTAATTTTCTCACGAACGAAATGACAATCAATTTCAATGTGTTTTGTGCGTTCATGAAAAACTGGGTTTTCGGCGATGTGAATAGCAGCTTGACTATCACAATGAACGGTGATCGGTTGAGGATGATCAATGCCGAGATCCGAGAGAAGATATTTTAACCATTGTAACTCGGAAGATAAAGTTGCAAGGGAACGATATTCTGCTTCAGCAGAGGAACAAGAAATTGTTGGTTGCTTCTTGGTTTTCCATGATATAGGATTAGAGCCCAACATGGTAAAATAGCCAGTAGTGGAGCGACGAGTAGTAGGAAAACCAGCCCAATCAGAGTCGGCATATCCAACTAAATTGAGGGAGCTAGAAGCCGAAAGAAATAAGCCTTTGCCGACACTCCCTTTAAGATATCGGAGAACTCGTGTGGCCGCATCGAGATGAGTTGTACATGGAGATTGCATGAATTGACTGAGAGTGTTAACATCGTATTGGATGTCGGGCCGTGTCACTGTTAAATATAATAGACGACCAATGAGGCGACGATAGATTGTCGGATCAGGAAGAGGGCTTCCTTCATTGGGCCGTAGACGGAGGTGTTGCTCCATAGGAAAATCTGATGGTCGGCAACCAGTCATACTAGAGTCGGATAAAATGTCAAGTGTATATTTCCTTTGGCATAAGAATATTCCCTTTTTAGAACGGGATACTTCGATACCTAAGAAGTATGAAAGATTTCCAAGATCTTTGATGGAAAAGGCCTGGGTGAGAAATTTTTTGATGTCGGAGATAGCGTCTTCGTTATTTCCAGTGATGATGATGTCATCTACATAAACGAGTACAAATATAGTCGTGTGATTACTTTTGAAAGTGAATAGACTATAATCAGAGATGGATTGATGAAAACCCTTTTGAATGAGGGTGGTGGAGAATTTTGAGAACCATTGACGGGATGCCTGTTTGAGACCATAGATGGATTTGTTTAATTTGCAAACACATGGTTTCCCTTCATGAGAGAAGCCGGGTGGTAATTTCATGTAAACTTCTTCATTAAGGTCTCCTTGAAGGAAAGCATTGTTAACATCAAGTTGATGTAACTGCCAGTTTTTAATGGCAGCAATGGAGAGAAGGAGTCGAACCGTGACAAGTTTGGCAACCGGTGCAAATGTTTCATGGTAGTCAATACCATGTACTTGATTGTAGCCTTTGGCGACTAAACGAGCCTTATATCGCTCAACGGTACCATTAGAGTGATATTTAATTTTGTATACCCCCTTACAACCTATGACGGTTTTTCCATTCGGAAGAGGAGATAAAACCCAAGTGTTGTTGGATTCAAGGGCGTGAATTTCTTTAGCCATAGTGTCACGCCATTCAGCTGATTTGATAGCTTGAGAATAAGATGTTGGTTCTTTATTTTCAATGATATTAAGAAGAAGAGCTCGATGAGAAGTGCTCAAATTGGATAAAGAGAAATAATTCTTTAATGGGAAGGCACTCTGTGATGTGACATTATTAATGTCACATACGTGGTCCGTGAGGCGAACGGAAGGAGTACGAAGACGTTGAGGATAACGATGTTCTGCAGGATTGATCGCTGTAGGTGAATGTTGTTGGGGAGTTTCTACAGGAATAGATGTAATATTGGATGGAATATTCGATGAGTTATCATCCTGAGGGGTGGAAATGGGCACAATCGTGTCATCATGATGACTAATGCCGGGAGAGATACTTGATGCAGGTGATAAGTTGGAAAAGGAATCATCAAATTCACAATCAAGGATTTGAGTGTTGATGCTTATGTCGTTAGCGATGGAAGGAGTTTGAAAGTCGTGATATGGAAACATGGTTTCAAAAAATTGAACATCGCGAGATACATATATTTTGCGAGTGTGCATATCGTAGATGCGGTATCCTTTTTGATTAAAAGGGTAACCGACAAAAATACCAGGTTTGGCTCGTTCATCGAATTTGTGTTGAATGTTCATATTTTTGGCAAAACAGAGACATCCAAACACACGAAGTGATAAGTATGAAGGAGGAGAACAGAGTAAAATTTGATGAGGAGATTTATATTTCAGGATGGGAGTAGGAAGTTTGTTTATGAGATAAGCGGCGGTGAGCACGCATTCACCCCAAAAGGAAAGGGGTAATTTCGCTTGGAAACGTAATGCTCTTGCGACGTCGAGAAGATGACGATGCTTGCGCTCCACAACGCCATTTTGTTGAGGGGTTGCAACGCAGCTGCGTTGATGAATAATGCCATGATCATGAAACCATGTTTGGATGTGTTTGGACAAAAACTCCGAACCATTGTCGGAACGAATAGCTTGAAGTTGGGGAAGAAAGATGCCCCCATCGCCGAAATTAATTTTATTAATTTTAGTGTTGAATTGGCGATTGATTTGATTAAAAAAATGAATTAGCATAGTAAATGTTTCAAATTTATGTTGCATGAGATATAACCAAGTACATCGTGAATAATCGTCGACAATTGTTAAAAAATATCGTGATCCATTGTGTGATGGAGTAGAGAATGGACCCCAAATATCGACATGAAATAACTCAAAACAATGAGATGAATATGATGTTCTTGAAGAAAAAGGTAAACGTCATTGTTTTGCACGCGGACAAACGTCACAAATAAAATCTTTATTCGCATTAATATTTGGAGAGTTCTTAACAATAAATTGAAAACGGGAAATAGATGGGTGACCGAGGCGTAAATGCCATAGGTCAGCCTTATTACATTGCTTAGAACTAAAAAAAGTACTTGGTGGATGGTGAACACAATAGTGATCGTTGTCATCTTTATTTAATGGTGGTTCTTCATTCAAGTAGAAGAGTCCATTCCGAGCACTACCCCGACCAATCGTCTTCTTCGTTGCTCGGTCCTGAAATATGCAACCAGAGGATGAGAAAATAATATCACAATGTATTGATTTTGTTAATTATGAAAGAGATAATAGATTATATTTGAAAGATGGAATGTGATAAACATTCGTGAGTGTAAGTGACGGCGAGCAATGAATATTGCCGATGTGTTTCACGGACGCGTGAGAGCCGTCGGGTAATTGAACAAGTATATTTTTATGAACAGGTGAATATGAAGAAAAATAAGAAAGAGATGTGCATATGTGATTTGAAGCGCCAGAATCAATAATCCAAGAAAAAGGAACACAAGTAAAAGTGGTACCTGCTAAATTCACAGATGATCCCATAGTGTCCTCTTTGGCTAAGAGAGATAGGAGTTTTTGATATTGTGCGCTTGAGAGTTGAGTAGCGGAAGTAGATGAGAATCGTTCAGATTTCTTTGGTGGCTTATTTGGAAATCCATGAATCTGATAGCAAGTAGCAATAGTGTGACCATGCTTATTGCAATTCTCACAGTACGGACGCTGCCGTTTGCCTTGAGTGCGATATTGCACTTTAGAAGCTTGAAGCGCTGTTGATTCCTCAGCAGGGAGGGGTCAAAAATTAATCTCTTGTTGTTTCTCTTCCTGGCGTACGATGTTATAAATACGCTGAATTGAAGGAAAGCGATCCATGAGGAGAATTTGGCTGCGGACGGCCGAGAATCGGTCATGGACGCCCTGAAGAATTCCATGGCCCGGTCCTGATTTTGTTGATCAATAATACTCTTGGCATTACCGCAGATGCACGGATTGATAGGTGCGATGGAATGGAGTTCATCCCAGAGAGATTTCAACTGAGTAAAATACAGAGATACAGACATGCCCTCTTGTTTTAGGGCAGAGATAGATTGTTTCAATTGATAGATTTTCGGAGCGTTGGATTGAGATAAATGATCCTTGAGATCGGTCCAGATTTGTGCCGCCGTTTCAGCATAGAGAATGCTAGGGCGAATCTCGGTTGAAACCGAGTTGAGAATCCAGCTTGCAACCATATGTTGCAGCGGCGCCACTTAGAGATATCATCGGCCTTCTTTGGACAGATTAGGGTTCCATCGACAAACCCGAATTTGTTTTTGGCACGAAGTGCCATTGTTACGGCTCGGCTCCATGAACCATAGTTGTCGACCGTGAGCAGAGGTGTAACAAGGACAGTTGTAGGGTTGTCGGAATGATGGATGACACATGGATCGGTGTTGGAGGTGGTGGCGGATTGATCATTGGTGGGTGGTGGAACATCAGACATGATGATGCGAGTGAGTGAGTGATTCGATGAAGAAGGATTGAAACAGGATGATAAACACAAACTGAGGGATATTAACCAGAGAAAAACTGATACCATATAAAATCTTGAATATTGTATCGGAATTTTGTTATATTTATTCTTGTAATGATGTACATATATATATATATATAAGAGTACAAGGATCTGTATACTAATTGCCTATAATTGTCTAGTCTATAATTGTCTATAATAGAAATCCTATTTTAAATACAATTATGATACTATTTCCTGATATACTATGATACTATTTTAAATACATGTTTGCTTGGGTTTGACCTTCTTGAATGTCTTGATATTTGTTTGACCTTCTTTAATGTGAATAATATGTGCTTATCCTTAACATTAACACTTATAATGAAAATAATGCATTGCCACACGTGTTTCTATTATGTATATATAAATAAATAATATCTTCAAATTAACTTTGGCATCACCATTTGTAGTATTGATGTTTTCGACGAAGAAAGTAGGAGCAATATATACATGTGTTGGATGGCCTTGTTACCGTACTGAGCCATGTGGTGGTGGTTGTCATTGCTTACTTGCTAAGGTTGGACCTGGTTATTGTGCAAGAGACAAACATGTTACTAAGATGGTGGAAGAGCATCCTGATTTATGTGAGTCTGATGCAGACTGCACAAGAAAGGGAAGTGGGAGCTTATGTGCATTCTATCCAAAATCGTATCTTAAATATGGTTGGTGTTTTGATACTAACTCTGATGCAGAAGCCTCGTTCAAGAATGCTCTTAGCTCTGAATTTGCAAACATGTTGAAGATGCCCTGAGAAGTTTCCACGTAATATGTACAACAAAAACCATGCACGCATGATCTCTCTACGTAAATAAAATGTCTATGTATGTCTTTATTTCCAACTAAGTTTGGATTTCTTAGACACTTAAATTTCAAAAATAATATATGCATGCATGTGAGGGTTTATATGTTGTTATCTATGTTTTTACTTTGCAACTTGCAAGTAATGGAATCTAATTACTATGTATGTTTTCCTAAATCCTTTAATGAGTATTGGAACTTGATGTGCATATCTTGTTTATTCTTGGATTGGTTGACCGTTTTTGTACTAAAGTCCAATAAGTGAATAACCATACAAACAACTTCTTTGAGAAAACTTTGCCGCGAAGAGACTCCTTAAGCCACGATAGATGTTCTATCACCGATTCTTCGAATAAAAAGTTAATTGTAGTTAGAAACTTGTATTTGTATTACTTGTGAATTGAATAGTATTTGAGGAATAGCCTACAATACAAAAGACAATAAAGAGATGATCCTTGAATTATGCTTTTATTAGTGACAGCATTAAATATAGAAACAAATATAATAGCCTATAATTGAAATATAAATGCTAAGGTGACTTGATCGAGTATCAAGTAATGATGTATTACAAAAAAAACAAAGAATCTAGTGTTAAATGTTTTCATTTGGGACAAAAGTGTGTTCAACAATAGGAATTTCATTTGATGGAGGGATTTTTTATTATCCGGTAATAATGTCAATTTGCCAGGAAATTATTTTGTAGGTGCGGTTAATTGTTGTGTGGGAAACGATTTGGGTATATCTTTCTGGTACTCCTGTTGGATTGGTAACCAAACTTTGATGGAGGTTTTTTCCGAGATTTTCGTGCAAGCAAGAAATGACAAGGTCTATGTTGCGGCTGCGGGCTGTTGGCAAGGGTCTGTTTGGTCATGGCGCCTAACAGAACTTGTGAAAAACCGTAACAGAATTTTTTCTAGTATGTTAGACTACATCAACGTATCTAGAAGGGGGTGCATGTATACCCAAATAAAAATCACATTTCAAAATGGTTACTTATAACATATTTGAAAAATAATGTTGATTGGAAGATTTTTGGCCTAGATCAAATATAATAGTCTAAATGAATCGAGTTGTTGAAAACTTGGGTATGCACGAGCCATATGGAGTTAACATAATGAAGAGTTTAATATCAAACACAACGATTTTTTATTTCCAATGAAATCATGTTAAAAACATAACTCGACATTTTATCAAACATGTCGCGCAATCAATTTTTTAGAATTTTCTTTGATCTTAGTTGATATGAAAAAACCCTTACAATCAAAGTGATTATAAGCTAGTCAACAAAGCAATTTAAACTTTAACCATCAAAGAAAAATTCTATATGAACTGATCAATCAAACAACACATTCAACAAATTGCACAAGAGTAAATGAGAGTAAGTGATAGAACATTACAATTTTCTTTTTAGTTGAACAAGCTAAACAATTTGTCAAATACTTGGCGTGCAATCAAAGTTTTAGAATTTTCTTTGTATTGTGTTGATATGAAAAAAACACTTATTGTAAAAATTGATTATAAGCAACTCGAAACACACAAATCAAAAGAAAAAAAGTTTCAGAAAATTCATACACGTCGATAAATTACTCAATGCTATTTGATAAATTGATGTATGAAAATTAAAGAAATTAAAGCAATAAAAGAAAAGAGACACAAGGATTTTTCTATACAATTTCCCACTTTTGTCCTCGCATGTAGATACGTTTGATGTTGATTCAATCCCTTCTGTTATTTTGATCTTCAACAAGACCAAGACCGACAGATGTAATTTATTTGCCGCTTAAGCTACTTCCTTGCAAAGATTTCAAACACTCCAAGGACCCTTGCAAAAATTTCAAACACTCCAAGGGATTTCACTCGAGTAAATTCGATTGCACTCTATAAACACAAGATCTTTGATTCTATCTTCCAATACTGGATACTTCTCGAACGATCGTGCACGAAAAACCCTCAAATCAACCAATGATCTTAGAGGACAAACCCAATGTTTTTTCTTGAATAAAACCCCCTACAAAACTCAATCCAATAAACAATTGAACACTAAAAATCCTCGTCTATATGGCACCCAAATGGAATATCGCTACAATGTAATGTTAGTGTGTATGCATAGATTGGAGGTTGGAGATGATGAGAGAAATAGACTAATTTTTATGGTTTCGCCAAGATAAAGTTTTGCTTGAATGATATATTTATAGTTGGACTCTTTTTAGGTAAAATAGTGTAGTTTCAGAGTGAAAAAATAATGAAAAATGACCCACAAAACAGTATGTGTCGACCTGAAAATGTTATGTGTCGGCACATGCAAAACACTAGTTACAGGCTTTAAAATTGCAGTACATGTGTCGACTTGAAAATCGTATGTATCGACACATGTGCATGTGTTTCAAAGTAGAAATGATGAAAGCTTTAATATTGCAGTACATGTGTCGACCTGAAAAAGTTATGTGTCGACACATACTGAAGCTTTTAAGAAAATGCAGAAATGCAGAATTTATGTGTCGACGCATATAAATTTCAGGTCGACACATAAATGTTGATTTTTGCAAAAATCAACTTTTCATGATTGAGACCAATTTTAAATTTATTTAAGTTGATTTCTTATACCCTAATGCAAGGGAGTTGTTTACCGTAAAAATTTGTAAACAATCGCTGATCTTCCAAAAAAGGTTATTTTGGTTACTTGCAGGATCGATAAGATTGATCCTAGGACATATGTTAAGTGTTTTTGGGGTTTGATACGAAGTCTTAGCGTTGTTAATGATTAAGTTCGAATGGACACTAAGAGTAAAGGCTTGGATAGGTTTAACTGCATAGGACGAAGGTAAAAACTTGGTAAAAGCACAAGTAAAGTACATGATAAAGTAAATTTGTAGTAATTTAAAAGGCTATAATGGTAAAGTTTGCAGAAAAATGTTAAATGGCAAGGATTGTAAATAAATGTAAATACTTTGATTGCAATAAGATATGGTGATTCAAACGTACATTCTCAATATTCTTTCTCTCACAGCATGTACTTGAATAAAATTGAGTCACTTGTATAATGAGTTGAATCCCCGAAATTCTACATAAAATTTCTATATTTATACTGATAATTAGTAACTGTCGAACAATTACTCTGTTCCAGGATGAGAACAAGTGTCCTATGCATGCTCTTCGACCCCTATCTTCACGCCACGTTGCTTTTCCAAACTTCCAAATGAATTGCCTTTCCCTCATTTCTTCAGATTCAAATCCACTTGCTGCTGATACAAGAGCTTTTTCGGTCGAAACAGTCTTTAACTTAGAAAATTCTCTAAGTGTTTTTTCCTTCTTAGCAAGGATGACTTCGACACAACTCCTTTCACAGGCACTTTTGTCGAAGTATCTTCAGCTTAGATTTCTTCAACCTATTTTTATCCAATAAGGCCAATATATGTGACTGTCGAATTTAGGAGCTAACAAATTATCCCCCAAGAATGTCAATTTCAACACAAGAAGAAATAGTCATTATTTGATGCCTCTATTCGACACCTGTCCGTTTCTTGGTCACATAAGTTCATAATGAACTTTTCGTCTTCAACCACTGCTGACATCAGATCTATCATTATGCTTTTTCCAATACGTCACTATCAGTCAACTGTTATATGCTACCATGATGACCATTATCCCTATAACCTACGAAAGCATGGCAAGCGTTCCCATCACTTGTCTGTACAACCGCTTCAAAGATCACCACGTGTTCCACTCACTGTACAACATTAAATGACTTTGAGAGAAAACACTCTTCATTGGCTTCTATAAATAGCCACGAATATCTCCTTTTGGAATTTTTCCAAAGGTCTGATATTCTTTGTCTCTTTGCATTCAAAAAGAAACCTCGAGAACTTCATCTCTTTCACAATCTTTCTACCAACAAAGCCATGGCCTTTCTTTCAAATGCTTCAAACAACCCAAAGACAATAGACGCTTCTGGTTCACGATAACAACTAGATGTTTTCCCAACCAACTCTGTTCCTGCTTCGTCTGGGGAATGAAGGTTCGTTCCTGAACCTCTGAACAAAGAAGGATGCGATGTATACAACCTACAGGTGCTCATTCGTATATGATATTCTGGACAAATGTATGCTATGTCTGATCCATTGTATATGTGTTTTGAAAACCCTAAAAAAAACAACGATTTTTCCCAACTCACCCTAGACTCAAACCCATAGGTTGCGCAAAGAAGCTTAGAAATTAACCCGAAGATGCAACGCCTACCAACCAACAACATTACCAAACGAAGGAGGATATAAACCTTCAATTCATGAACAAAGGGAATATAATATTCAGGTCTTGCCCTAGCTTGACCTCAGAATACTCAGAGTGGCTGGTTAAGATGGAAGCAGCTTAATCCCAAATGTGGGAAGATATGGGAATTTATGACATAGTCATTCTGTCGAAGACTGGGTTAGATTATTTTCCTCTTATGCTGGTGTCCTATTTGTATTTCTGGGACAACGCACACTGCACCTTCCATTTACCTTGGGGAATGGTTACACTCACTCTCTTTGATATTGCAGCCATCATTGGCCTTCGACCAACCGGTGATTACTTTGACCTTGATGATATGTCTGAAGACACCATTGGGTTTTCATCCACAAAACCTACCTATACCACCTTCATCAATCACTTCCATGATAAATCAAACGATATTGTCTCTGAAGTGGTACATATAGCTTTCTTAGCTTTATGGTTATCCCGTTTTGTTTTCTGCACTAAGTCACTCCAAGTGACAAAGAAGCTGCTTACTCTGGCCACTCAACTTCACCGTGGCTACAACCTCTGTTTGGCTGAATTAATTATGGCTAATCTTTATGAGTCCATCAGTAATGGTGTGACTCAACTCAAAGTTATAGGCAATAGAGCAAGCCTGCTTTTTTCTGGCCCTTTTTGGCTTCTTCAACTCTGGCTTAATGCTACTTTCGAATCATTTCT